CGAGACGAATGGTTGTTGGAAGTTCTGGGATTTACATGCTTTAAAAGAAATAGGGTGGCTGGAAAAAGAGGTGGGGGAGTGGCATTGCTAGTCAGGGCTAGTATAGCAGCTACTGAAAGGCAGTTCAAGAATGATATGTCTACAAAGTCAGTTTGGATTGAGGTCCAGAACAAGAAAGCAGCAGTCAATTTGTTGGGGTTTTGTTGTTTTTTTTTGTTTTTAACAGACCCCCTAATAGTTGCAGAGAAGTAGAGGAGCGGATTGGCAGGCAGATACTGGAAAGGTGCAGAAGTCACAGGGTTGTTGTCATGGGTGACTTCAACTTTCCAAATATTGATTGGAAACATTTTAGTTGTAATAGTTTAGATGGAGTGGATTTTGTCCAGTACGTTCAGGAAGGATTCCTGACCTGACACAGTATGTAGATAGACTAACACGAAAGGAGAGGCGACTCTGGATTTGGTGCTTGGCAATGAACGGGGCCAAGTGTTAGACCGGTTGGTAGGAGAGCATTTTGACGGTAGCGATCATAACTCTGTTACTTTTACAATAGTCATGGAAAAGGATAGGTACATACAGCAGGTTAAGGTTTGTAATTGGTGGAAGGGTAATTACAATTCTGTTAGGCAAGAACTGGGTAACATAAATTGGGGACAGATGCTGTCGGGGAAGAGCACTATTGAAATGTGGAGATTGTTTAAGGAATGCATACTGCGAGTGCTCGATACGTTTGTCCCTAGCAGGCAGGGAAGATGCAGTTGAGTACGGGAGCCTTGGTTCTCAAGAGAGGTCGAACGTCTGGTTAAGAGGAAGAAGGATGCTGAGATAAGGTTTAGGAAACAAGGAACGGAAAAGGCTCTAGAGGGATACAAGTAATCCAGGAAGGAGCTGAAGAAAGAGCTTAATAGAGCTATAAGGGGGCATGAGAAAACCTTGGCAGATAGGATCAAGAAAAACTCCAAGCCTTTTTACACGTACGTGAGGAATAAGAGAATGACCAGAGAAAGGGATAGGGCCGATCAAGGATTGTAAAGGGAATTTGTGTACGGAGCCTAAAGAGATAGGAGAGGTCCTTAATGAATACTTTTCTTTGGTATTCACAACTGAAAGGGACCTAGTTGTAGGGGAGAACAGTGTGAAACAGGCTGGTAGGCTAGAGGAGGTGGACGTTAGTAAGAAATATGTACTAGGAATTTTGAGGAACTTGAAGATAGGCAAGTCCCCCGGGCCTGAAGGGATTTTTCCAAGGATTCTATGGGAAGCGAGGGAAGAGATCGCAGGGCCTTTGGTGATGATCTTTTCGTCCTCACCGTCCACAGGTGTAGTGCCGGAAGATTGGAGAGTGGCAAACGTCATTCCCTTGTTCAAAAAAGGGAATAGGGAATACCCCGGAAATTGCAGACCAGTTAGTCTTACTTCAGTGGTGGGCAAATTATTGGAAACGGCTCTGAGAGATAGGATTTATGATCGCTTGGATAGGTACAGTTTGATTTGTGATAGTCAGCATGGATTTGTGAGGAGTAGATCATGCCTCACAAACCTTATTGAATTCTTTGAAGAGGTGACCAAACACGTGGATGAAGGTAGAACAGTGGATGTAGTATACATAGGTTTAAGTAAGGCATTTGATAAGGTTCCCCATTGTAGGCTCATGCAGAAAGTAAGGAGGCATGGGGTGGGAGAAAATGTGGCACATAGGATTCAGCATTGGCTGACCCTTAGAAGACAAAGGGTGGTAGTGGATGGAAAATATTCAACATGGTGCTTAGTTACGAGTGGTGTACCACAAGGATCTGTTCTGGGTCTTCTACTATTTATGATATTTGTAAATGATTTGGATGTAGGAGTGGAAGGGTGGATTAGTAAGTTTGCGGACGATATGAAGGTGGGTCGAGTTGTGGATAGTGCGGAGAGTTGTTCTAGGTTACAAAGGGACATTGGTAGGATGCAGAGCTGGGTTGAGAAGTGGCAGATGGAGTTTAACCCTGAAAAGTGTGAGGTGATTCATTTTGTAAGGACAAATTTGAAAGCAGAGTACAGGGTTAACGGAAAGATTCTTGGCAGTGTGGAGGACCAGCGGGATCTTGGGGTTCATGTCCACAGTTCCCTGAAAGCTGCCACCCAGTTGGATAGAGTTGTTAAGAAGGCGTATGGTGTGTTATCTTTCATTAATAGAGGGAGGGAGTTCAAGAGCCGTGAAGTTATGCTCCAGCCATACAACACTCTGATTCGGCCACATCTGGAGTATTATGTCCAGTTCTGGTTGCCTCATTACAGGAAAGATGTGGAAGCGTTGGAAAAGGTGCAGAGGAGATTTACCAGAATGTTACCTGGAATGGAGGGAAGGTCTTACGAGGAAAGGTTGAGAGAGCTGGGGCTTTTCTCTTTAGAATGACGAAGGATGAGAGGTGACTTGATAGAGGTATACAAAATGATCAGAGGTATAGATAGACAGCCAGAGACTTTTTCCTGGGGTGGAGGTAGTTATTACGAGGGAGCATAGTTTTAAAGTAAGTGGAGTTAGATATAGGGGAGATGTCAGAGGTAGGTTCTTTACTCAGAGAGTGGTAGGGGCGTGGAATGCATTGCCCGAGAGGGTAGTGGAGTTGGCCTCATTAGGGGCAGTTAAGCGGCTATTAGATAGGCATATGGATGAAAGTATACGGTCAGGGTGGAGGATAGATAAATGTTAGGATTAGGGTAAAAGATCGGGACAACATCGTGGGCCAAAGGGCCTGTACTCTTCTGTGTTCTATGTTCTATTACGTTCGTGCCACATAATATAATTGAGGAGACCCTCGGTGTTAAGACTGGACTGGGTGTCCAAGGACTGTGTTGTGATCACTCTTACCAACAGTGTCATGGAAAGATGTATCCGTGACAGATAGATTGGTGAGGACAAGGTCAAAAATTTTGATACTCCTTCCTGTTGGTTCTCTCACTGCCTGCCCCAGACAGAATCTAGCAGTTATGTCCTTTGGAACTGGAAAAGCATAGTCAGCAGTGGTGCGGCCAAAGCTGTCATGGTGAGGTTCCACAACTGAAACTAAGTTCTGCACCTGCTTCACTCTTAGTGTTTCCGTGAAGTGGTGATTGACATGGATGGGTCTTGACTGATCAGCTAAATAGAGGATGGCAGATGGTATTGTTGGTAGGCAGTAGGAAATATCTTGTCCATTTTTGACCTAGTCCCATGATACTTCATGGTGCCTGGAGTCAATTTTGAGGACTGCAATGACCTCCTGACATTATATCACCCTATCATTGCTTCTGGTGGGTTTGTCCTGTTGTTGGGACAGGAGATAACCAGGGATTGTAATGTTGCCTGGGACACTTGCAAAATGATTCCATGACTATGGTTATGCCAGCTGTCAGCCTTTTGCTTGACCTCTCTGTAGGTCTGTTCTCCCAATTTTGTCACAGCTCCCAGATGTTAAGGCCACTTTGGCAGGATTGATGGCATTGGGTTTGTCACAGGCATTTCCTGTGCCAGCATTGGTACCGAGTGATCTGCCCGATTCATTCCTTTAAGTTTTGTAGCAGTTTGATACAACTGACTGGCTTGTTGGGCCAGCTAAGAGGGCAACTATGAGTCGAACACATTGCTGTGGGTCTGGAGTCACAGGTAAACCAGATCCACAGATTTCTTTCCTTACAAAGCATTGGTGAACCAGGGTTTTTACAACAAGTGACATAATCTACACGGTCACTGTTAGATAGGTTTCTATTTTCAAATCTTTACCAAATTTTGCCATCTGCCATGATGGAATTCAAATCAATGCCCCCAGATTAATAACCTGGTGCTCTGGATTATTTGTCCAATGAGATTATAGTATTTATGGGAAAACGCTGCTTAGCAGTAAAGTTACAGAAGGAAGGATGAAGACAGGCTCAAGGAGCAAAACTCCCAACATGGATGGGCTGGATTAAATTGTCTATTTCTATGCTGTATTTTCTGTCATACTATATCTCTCTGCCTATCCATCCCATTTTCTTTTAATGCCCTCCAAACAACCAAACTCAAAAGTTTCTGGGCACATCTTTTATTCAACGTTCATGTGTTTTTTTTTAAACCCTGGGAAATGCTTTGCAATGTTAATGTCAAATGTCAACTGTCAACTGAAAATTGTTGTATTTATTGCTCAAATGCCTCAACACTACATTGAATCCCATACACAATGAATGCTGGTTTCTGAACGGATGACAATCTGGCCTTATCACCTCAGATGATGAGACACAAGAATGGTGACAATTATAGAGCCTTGTTAGGTGCAAAATTCTGGAATGAGAATTTATTTTCAGTTTTATACATTCAATCCAACTGCAATAACTGTTAAAACATTGTGATTGGCATTTTTCAATAATGATGTGGGATAATGAAATTATCGTGTTAAATTATACTGTCAAGCAATACAACTCGTACACTTCAAAAAATGTTTTCCCCTTCTGACCATTACTGTCAGAATATCCACAAGACTCCAGTTCTTCTGAGTCTAGGCTTATGCATGTACTGACGACATGAAATGTCAGGTATATCTCTCACCATAGAAGGTACTTGACCTGCTAAGATGGCTAATATTTATGCTTTCAGAATAATAATATTCTTGGTGGTAGCCTTTGGTATTTAACATAGGTAACCACAGCCCATGCGTAAATCTAGCCAAAGACAGCCTGACAGGTGCCCCTTCCAAGGCCTAAACAGAAATACAAACAGAGCACAAGAAAGCAGCATGGAGCTGAATATGCTGATCCATACTTCTGAGCTCTCAATACGTAACTGAATATTTCAAAAGGTCATTGGATCCAACCAGAGATCCTGCAAGTTACCTTTTCTTGGTAGCACATCCCATGCTATCTTCACCAAATAAGACAAGAGTAGTGGCAATGAAACTTGAAACAGTGATTAACTGAATCATAATCTTTCTTACAACACAGAATCCATTTGTTTCATTATGAATATGCAGATGGAAAAGTTAAGACTTTGATTTAACCATACTGACCTAGCTGTTGCTGCATCTGGTGGTGCATCATTGGATAAGGTGGTGGTGGTGTTGGACCTTGTTGCATCATGCCAATAGAGCTCAGCTGCTGAACACTGGCGGCGGTGGTAGTGGTGGTAGTGACATTTTGTGAATGCTGCTGCTGTTGCTGGTGATGCTGCTGCTCCAGCTGCTGTCTGGCTCTCATTTCAGCATATTTCAACTGTTCCATGTGGAAGGCCTGTCGTTCTGTGAGCAGTTGCTGTCGCTGCTGTTCCAGCTGAAATAAAGGGCAATGGTAACACGCATCAACACTGTCCAAAGACAGCATGTAAACAAACGTTCTCCTTCCGAAAGCAGAGGCCTTTACAACAGCAAACTTCAAAAGTGTTCAAAACCAAATAATTTCCAGAAACATCCATTCTAGTTGTAAATCTGGACAGTCTGTGCATTGATATATATTTGCCCCTGCCAGATTCTATAACCAAACCCAAATTCAACACACAAGTAATCTAGACTAAGCTGAGAGTTACACTGGAAACCAATTTGAAATCATCAGCTGGGCCTGCAGCATGATGAATTTCTGCATGGCAGAAGCTATATATACTTGTAGACAAAAAGAATTTGCACATAATTGCATCTTTTCCCGACTTGAAAAGGGAATGGAGATAACCGAATACTGCTGCACACCCACAGCAATGCCGTGACCGATCAGAATCTATTGATTGAGAACTGAGAATTATGATTTATGGTCAACTGTACTTGCTAAATCTCCATGCCAAATCGTGCCCCAACCAATCATCACTCTTTTCTCATTCTGTACAAAATGACATCTCTTATTTTAAAGACTGCTTTTACATCCTAGTTCTGATAAGTGCAAACGCTTCAATTCATAGTTTCCTTTGAGTAATTGCAATACTCAAGATATTCAATCACTTTTTTGCAAATCTATAACTGCACTTGTTCCAATGGTTATCCTCTGAATCATAATACAATTAGACTGGCCGATACCCAGCCTGCACTCAGTTATAAGTATAACAGCAGCCTGCGTTAGGGTCACAGATTTAAAGGAAAAAAAAATAATTTGTTTTGCAAATCCTCTCAGTTCCAAAGTCTCAGCGGCGGCTTTAAGCATCCCTACAGATTGTGCCTATTGCTTGAAGGAGTGGAGATATTTTCACAAAAGGATAGCATAGACATCTCGACCTCCTAACCGATTCAACTCTTAAAGCAGTTGCTCATTTTTGTTGCGATTTTGCATTATATTTGAGCTAATGTAGTTAATGTCAATGCTAATTAGCATATTTCCTGAAGGAATAAAACTCCACAAAAGGGAATGTACTCCACATTGCAATACAATTACACGCTCCACCTCAGTTAACAGGATCTAAGTTTAAATTAAAAATGTTTCAGTTGAAATGCTCGCATTGAAGTGCATGTTGGAATATAAGCAGTCATCACTTATTACCTGCTTTGCCTGGTTCAGAAAATACAACAGTAAATTACACTGTTCTATTAAGGACAGTTTTCTGAATGTGTTGCACAAAATGTAATCAGCATTTCGGAAAATATGGCTGTCCAAAAGATGCATACCGGGCATATTTATAAAAACAAGGAGTCCCAAGCAAGCTTAGCATTTGTGATCCAAGAACATATGCTAAGTAAGAGAAACATTACACTCCCCATGAAAAGTCTTACGGGCTAAAGCTCATGATTATTCTTTTGTCAAAATGATCTACCGTACAAAACTTCAATTTTCTTTTCCTCTCACTATACTCAGCCAATTGCAATTCCTTTCCTTCTCTGATTGGAAAGGAAAACACTACCCTGGTTGCGTTTTTGATCCCACTTTGTGCGACGATAGAGCTGCAAATACCAGCACAAATGGAATTACACATCTGAAATTTGGTATGACAAACTATAATTATAGTTCGGAGAGGCTTTCATTGTTAAAATAAATACAAAATGCCGTTACCATTGTCTGAAGTGGAACAATAATGCAACGGCATATTGTTATTTAGACTGTTGAGATGTTCATCTGTCTAAATGCCAACTGGCCTGTGCACTTAGGTGATGTGAGAATTTCACTCTCAAGAGGCAGCAACATCTTGTGCATGACCCCTCAAGATTTAAGTTTAAACAATTAGAGACCACTGAATGCTCACAAGAATGCTCATTAGCCCAATTTATATACATTTGAACCCTCTGGATTCATATGACACTATGGTTAGAGCGCCACTGAAATCACTCATCATCTTTGGTGCATTTTCTCATCATTGTTAGCTGAATGCTTTACAGTGAAGCTTGTTTCATTTATATGGTGCTGTGAACATTCAAAAAATAAATGCCAAGAGCTTCAAAGATGTAATCAATAAAAATGGAAACCAAGTATAAGATGGCAATATTAGGAGAGTTTGGCCACAAGTTTGATCAGGTATGTAGATTTCAAGGACGCTTATAAAAAAGATGAAGGTGGTGTTGGAAAAATTTCAGGAGAACATTTAGCACATTTGGCCCAGGCAGCTGGACTCAACCTCGAGAACTGGGGTGAAGAAAACAGAGAAAGGATATTCAAGATCAGGGGAATGGAGTCTTGGAGCTCTCATTTACAGATTTAGGAAGGGAAGAATTGAGCTCAAAGGTTCACTACCAATGTAGGTCAGTAAGTAAAAGAACAACATGTAAACAGTAAAAGTTAGGATAAACCTAAGGTTTGGATGAGCAGTCTATAAGATCTATAAATTAGAAGCTGGACAAGACAGCACGGGAACAGTCAAATTTGGAGGTGATAAAGACATGGATGAGCTATGATAGGCTGTTGCATTTTGACAGTTTGGATTTTAAAAGAGATATAGGAGTGTTGGTGGTTTTGTCAGGGTTCGTAGGGGGAAAAAGAACTAGGGCAGAAAGCCTTTCTGGAATAGTGAACTAATCCACCAGGGAATCCCTGGAACATTATTGGAGAATGATTTATACTGCAGTGATTTATGACAGATGAAGTAAACACTGAAGGAAATTAGATGGTTCCCTAAACCAAAAATCAAATTAACAGACAAAGTTTTGAGAACAGTTCAGGAGACCGGAGTTCCAAGCAAGCATAGGTGCTCAGAGAGATTTTCTTAGAGCAGTTAAAGGAATAAGTTAACTCAGAAAATTTAGTATGTGCAACTTCTAGACCAGTAACATTCAATTAGAAAGCTACAGGTTATTAGGAAAGAAAATCTAAACTCTTGGTATTAAGCATACCAACAGAAGACTCCATAGTTCAGAGGGTAGAAATTGTTAAGTCAAACTTAAAGATTTGATAGATGGAGGTACAATTTCTCTGTATTTTATTTTTTGTAGTAAAGCACCAAGGTTCTTGTGCGACAGTGATTGGTGTCAAGTTTCTTTAATATTGTGAAGCAGTGCTCATCTAGGCCGAAGGCGAGTATTCCACCTCACTCCTGATTTATATGTTCTAAATGATGGGCAGAGTATGGCAAGCAAGCCGCCTCCAGATTCCCTAAATCATTCAAGATAAAGCAACCCACTTGGCCAGCATCCCCATTCAGCATCTTACACACTGGCAATGTGCACTGTCTACAAGATGTATTGTAACAAATCACCAAGACTCCTTCATCCGTGCCTTGCAAATGCACCATTTCTATCACCGAGAAAGGACAAAGGCAGCAGAAGTACGGGAACTCCACCAACCTAAAGTTCCCCTTCAATCAACTCAATATCTTAATTTGCAACTTTATCATAATTGTTTTACTGTTACTGGGTCAAAATCTTATAATTTCCTTCCTAACAGCACTGTGGGCACACTGATAGCCCATGGACTGTAGCAGCTTAATAAAACAGCTTGCTGTCACCATTTAAAGATTGATGAAGGACAGGCAATAAAATAGTGGCCTCAGCAGCAATGCACTCATGTCACAAGTAAATGAGAAATGAACAAATTAAGCAGACGGTAAAGTTAAACAGCAATGGCTACTGTGGCATAAAGAGGCAATTAATAAAGTTTCTGGAAAAAAAAGGTGGACAGGATTACTTTTCAATATGTTGCCCAAATTGCTTTTCCTTAGTCAGATATGTTTTTTGATGAACTGCACAAACTACTTGCGAACATTTGGAATGTTGGAGTGTAGTAGAAAAGACCTTACTGCTTCTCTCTCTCTGTCCATAATAGTTTCCAATTCTTCAAAGTGACGCAGTTTTATTTCCAGCTTCTTCATTTGAGTTTCCACCAGAAGAGCAACAAGTGACTTGATCTTCCTCTCCTCCACCGCTGCAAGGTGCTGAAGTAAATAGAGTAAGAGGTGATTCAAGAACAAATTCCATTGTGGAACAGTCCAGCAAAAAATAATTAATAAAACTTGTCTTCTGGCAAAGATTAGGTTTAAAAATGGAATAGAAAATGACAGAAAACCTGGAACCAAAAATATTGAAAACGATACAAAACATCTGCAGTCAACTTAAGTGTCAGGCAAGAGCCTTTCATGGTTATTTTCCATAGTCTATTGGATTTCACTGTTTGCGAGCAATGACAAGTCTTCTACAATTTGTCAGAACAGATCATTCACAAATTCATTATCCAGTTTCACTTCAACTACCCGACTAAAATACCCTGCCTCAGCCTGTAGCCACTCTAACAAAGAGATCTGCTATCTAGTATGTTATGCTCTTTCTGCTCTCTTTCAAAGGCTAGGATATTGGATTCCCTCCCAAGTAACATATCCACAAAAGGGGTGCAGGTAGAGAAAACTATTGTCCATCTGTTACTTAGGAGTCCACGTGGCTAGTTGTGCACACCAGCAGCCCAGGGATCTCACCTTAGACATGCAAAACTAAGCAAGGAGCCCATTAGCTTCACTAATGTGACTGGGTGTCATCCATAGACATTCACTAAGAGACTAACAATTTAGTAGGACAATGGATCAGAAGACAGACATCAATGGCATGCAAGACACGTATAAATCATGGTATTCACTGAGACAACTAAGTTGCCTGTGAGCAGTCCGAAACCTTATGCGGTACAAGTCCCATTGTCAGGAAGTCAATTACAATGCTGACTTTTCACAACTACTCTAACTCTATGATGTTGACTTGAACAATCATAATGAATTTGATTACAACATATAAATGAGCAAATTGTGCATAGAGCTCGTTGGTCTGGGAAATAAAAACTGTATCAATAGGTTCAAATCAACACAAAATTTTTCACGGTATTACAACAGGCACTGTTTAAGCTTCAACCGAAGAACAGAGGTCCCATTTGCTTTTTAGGTGTAGTTAAAGATCTCACAATGGCACCTGAACGTCTCTCCTGGGCCAACATTTTACCTTAATACCATCAATTCTGGTCAATCATCCAACAGCTGTTAAGCAACGATAAGAAAGGGTTTTAGTAATACGATTTCCATTTGCTCATCAAAAGGAAGCAGGGTTGGTGAATGAAGAATGCAGACTTGCTTCCAGTCAATGACATGGAACGAAATATTCATGCCCACTAATTGAGGGAGTTTGAGAGACCTGATGTATTGAAAGTAAATAAACTTAAGTTGCATGTTTTGTTGATGTTTGCATTGTTTCTTTTCTAACACAGAGACTGGTAATTGTAATTTCTTCCTGGATTTCAATTTCTTTTGTGCAGAGGTTATTAAGGCAAGCAGATGCTAACCCCAACAGCAGAAATTAGAACTCCAGTAATGGAGAAAGAGAAATTCATTGATTCAAGTGTTATGGTATAAACTACCAGTTAAGCCGAGTAAGTGCATTTTTTATCTATAATTATACACTGCATTGTCAGCTTTGCACTGATGCTGGAACTTATTTCAGAGTCAAAGCATGATGGCACCATATCCATTGGGATATAATCAAAGCTCACATATCAACGTGGTACGATGGGAGTCCTACAATTTCAGAGGTATATCTTTTGGATAGAATGATCAACTTGAGTTTTGACTACCTGCTTGGGTGGATGCATTACAATATTCAAAGTAGCACAAGGAAATTTCTTAAAATGCTGCTAACACTGAGGTGCTGCTGCTTGTGCAAATAATGAGACGATCTATTGATTCAACTTTATAAAACAGCTTTTTGGCTTAGTAATACGATTTCCATTTGCTCATCAAAAGGAAGCAGGGTTGGTGAATGAAGAATGCAGACTTGCTTCCAGTCAATGACATGGAACGAAATATTCATGCCCACTAATTGAGGGAGTTTGAGAGACCTGATGTATTGAAAGTAAATAAAACAGGAATCAAGCTGATGGCTGGAATAAAGTTAGTTACAATCATGAAAGGAGAGTTCAAGTTGTGGCCTGTCAGATTGTGAATCAGAACGCAAATCCTTTGGTAAAAATTCTTTTATCCTTCAAGGAAATGACATGAGGAACGAAACAGCACCATCCATGATACTTGCTGAGCATATTGTGAGAGAAAGGACTCCATCTTGGAGGGAGTTTTCCATAACTTCAATTTTACTAGGGCTTTTTTTATGTTGTACTCAAGTGAAATGCTACCTCAATATCAACCATTATTTGTCATTTAACTCGCTGCTGTTTGTGTGACCTTGCAGCTAACTGTGCTGCTGCATATACAGATTATATTTCTGAAGTACATTGATTGAAGCATTTGGAAAATATCCCTAGGGCATGAAAAACACTATAAAATGTAAGTCTGAACAAAAACTTTACAGCAGAAGATGAAACTTACCTTTGCCTTTGTAGCAGCTGAAGCCAGTGCTGCTGCAGCAGCAGTGACTATGTTCCCTTCACCAATGTGTTGCTCTAGTTTCTTCTTCCCAACATCTAATTCTTTGTCTTTGGCAGTGACATCAATGTTTTCCTTGTTCTCCTCTTTGTCTTTTTCATCTGCTACAACTATCAGATAAGAGACAAAGTAAATTTAGGAAAGCACAGAAATTTAAACATAGCTCCATAAATAACCAATATTGTTAGTTTTATGTACATTTATTTCTGAAAAGCATAAATGTATCAATCCATTTGGCTTTCAAAATCAGTGCTTGATCTTTCATATAAAATATACCATAGAGATGCATGCTTCTTTTTTGACAGATGCTTAAAAACTAGTTGAAATCCTGTGAGTTCTCCAGAAGCACAGCTAGTGCAAAGGTGTCTCATTAGTAATTAGACATAGAGCCTGGCAGATGGCAGGGACTCACCCACATAGAAAAAGGCAAGAGTGACACTGTACCATGGATACTTTACTTTCAATGCACCAAAACATCCAACCTCAGTTCATAACAATCTGTACTGATGACCCCTCACCTTCCAAACAGTGAACTTAGGGAATGAGACTGTCACAGGTGCACTGTGGAACTTAAAAGCACATGCATTTTTACTTGTTGTAGTTTTATCCTGATCTCCAATAATTCCCTACATCTGCCGAGTGAATCTTGATCTAAACATACATTGTGACAAGACATGGGCACACAGATACAAAATGACTAAAGACAAATTCAGACCTAATGTCAGGAAATTTTTCAGAAGATACAACATGGAAACAGGATGCTGTTCACAACCATTAATTATGTTCAGTCTCCACGAACAACAGTTCTCATCCTATTTAGCCATGGTAAGGTAAATGAAGGCCCATGGGAATGGGGTGGGGGTGCTAGATTTTTGTGGGATGGTCTTCAGAGGCTTAGTGCAGACTCGATTGGTTGAATGGCTTCTTTCTGCACTGTAGGGATTCTATGAAATAGTACTTACACTAACCTTTCTCAGTTTTAAATTCTTCAAACTATTGATTGATTGATTTTATTGTCACGTATACTGAAATACAGTGAAAAGCTTTGTTTAGAGCAGTACAGGCAGATCACAGCAAGCAAAGGATATACAAATCAAAAAGACTTAGAGGCATACAAGTTACATTGCAGGTTACATTATTTGAGGGTAGAGAATACATTCAACAGTCTGATAATGGTGGAAAGAAAACATTCCTGAATCTGCTTGTGCATGTGTTCAGGCTTCTGTATCTTCTGCCTGATGGAAGAGGTTGTAGGAGGTTATTGCTAGAGTGCGATGGGTATTTGATGACGTTGGCTGCTTTTCTGCAGCAGCAAGCCGTGGAAATAGAGTCCATGGATGAAAGATTGGCTTCCGTAATGGTCTGTGCTGTGCACACCACGTTCTGTAGTTTCTTACTGTCCTGGACAGAGCAGTTGCCATACCAGGCTGTTATGCACCCGAACAGTACGCTTTCAACAGTTCGTCTCAAAGTTGTTGAGGGACCTTATGAACATGGCAAATTTCCTGAGCCACCTGAGGAAGAAGAGGCATCGCTGTGCCTGCTTGACAGTCGCATTTACGTGGGAAGTCCAGGACACGTCATTGGTCATCGTCACTCTGATGAACTTGATACTCTTCAACCTCTCAACCTCAGTTTCATTGATGTAGATGGGGCCATATTCTCCTCCTTTCTTCCTGGATTCAATGATCAGTTCTTTAGTTTTGCAGATGTTGAGGGACAAGTTGTTTTCATTGCACCACATTACCAAGACCTCTATCTCCCTTCTGTATTTTGATTGTCATTGCTAGATATCCATCCCACTACGGCGGTGTCGTCAGCGAGCTTGCAGATAGCGTTTGTTCAGAATTTGACAACACAGTCATAGGTGTACAGGGAGTACAGTAGAGGGGTGAAGAAGCATCCTTGGGGGCTCCAGTGTGGAGTGTTATTGTGGCGGAGGTGCAGTTACCTGTCCTCACTGCTTGCAGAGGGCAGAGCCGGGACCAAGGTCACACACATCACCTCAATATCTCTATACTACTTTCTAATTTTTAAAAGAATCCACTGTTTTCATATTTCCTTCTGTCAGGCAATCTCTCAATGATGTAATGGACCAGACGTGATGCCTCCAAATATATTAGGGTAACCTAGACCCTAACATTATCTTATTTATGACTGGTCAAACTAATCAACGTTAAGCCAAACAATTTATTTAAACACTGTAGTTAAAATACAAACAAAAGAAAGATGAATTTAGAGTAACTTAACAGAATAATTGATACATTGACTATAACTAATTATTGGAATCTTTTCTGGGGTAGAAGTAACCTGCATAAGAATGATGGATTGCACTTGAATTGGAAGGGGACCAATACTCTGGCAGGGAGATTGGCGAGAGCTGCTCAGGAGGATTTAAACTTGTAAGGGGTAGGTGGGACGGGGGGCGGGGGAACGAGGGGGTGGTGGTAGTGGTTTAGTGAAGAGACAGATCAGTCCGAGTCCGGTGAGGTTGGGAAAAGGTACAAGTCAAACAGTCAGGGTAGGCAGAAACAAAAGCAGAGAATAAGGTAGGACTGACAAAATAAACTACATTTATTTAAATGCAAAAGGCCTAATAGGTAAGGCAGATGAAATCAGGGCATAGTTAGGAACATGGGACTGGGATATCATAGCAATTACAGAGTTGTGGCTCAGGGATGGACAGAATTGGAAGCTTAACATTCCAGGGTAGAGATGATATAGCAAGGATAGAAAAGGGGGCAAGAGAAGAGGGGGAGTGGTGTTTTTAATTTGGGATAACGCTATGGTTGTACTTCAGGAGGATATTCCTGGGAATACATCCAGGGAAGTTATTTGGGTGGAACTGAGAAATAAGAAAGGGACATTTTTTGTACCCTATTGGGATTGTACCGTAGAACCCCCCTCAATAGTCAGTGGGAAACTGAGAAGCAAATTTGTAACAAGATCTCAGTTATCTGTAAGAATACTCGGGTGGTTATAGTGGGAGATTTTAACTTTCCAAACAGAGACTGCTGTAATGTTAAGGGCTTGGATGGACAGAAATGTGTTAAGCGTGTAAAGAAAATTTTCTGATTCAGCATGTGGATAAATCTACTAGACAAGGCGGAAAAATTGACCTACTCAATTTCTGAGGAAGAGTCACCAGGCCCAAAACGTTAACTCTGACTTTTTTCTTCACAGATGCTGCCAGACCTGCTGAGCTTTTCCAGCAACTTCTGATTTGTTTGCAATCCATATGGACTTCAGCAAGGCATTCAACAAGGTTCCTCATGGTAGGCTGATTAGTAAGGTTAGATCACACAGAATACAGGGAGAACTACCCATTTGGATACAGAACTGGCTCGAAGTAGAAGACAGTATGGTGGTGGACAATTCCTTTTCAGACTAGATGCCTGTGGCCAACGGTGTGCCACAAGGATCTGTGCTGGGTCCACTGTTTTTCTTCATTTATATAAATGATTTGGATGTGAACATAGGAAGAATGGTTAGTAACTGTGCAGACAACACCACACTTGTGCAGAAGGTTACCTTAGAGTACAATGGAATCTGAATCAGATGGGCCAATGGGCCGAGGAGTGGTAGACGGAGCTTAATTTAAATAAATGTGAGGGGCTGCATTTTGAAACGGCAAATCAGGACAGGATTTATACACTTAATGGGAAGGTCGTGAAGTGTGTTGCTGAACAAAGAGACTTTGGAGTGCAAGTTCATAGTTCCTTGAAAATGGAGTCACAGGTAGATAGGATAGTGAAAGTGGCATTTGGTATGCTTACCTTTATTGGTCAGTGCATTGAGTATAGGAGCTGGGAGGTCATGTTGCGGCTATACAGGACATTGGTCAAACCACTTTTGGAGTACTGCGTGAAATTCTGGTCTCCCTGCAATGGCAAGGATGATGTGAAACTGCAAAGGGTTCAGAAAAGATTTACAAGGATGTTGCCAAGGTTGGAGGGTTTGAGCTACAGGGAGAGGATGAATAGGCCGAGCCTATTTTCCTGGAAGCATCGGAGGCTGAGGAGTGACCATATAGAGGTTTATAAAATCATGATAGGCATGGATCAGGCAAATCAATAAGGTCATTTCCCCAGGGTGGGGGAGCCCAAAATGAGATGGCATAGGTTTAAGGCGAGAGGAGAAAGATTTAAATGGGACCCAAGGGGCAACTTTTACATGCAGAAAGTGGTGCCTGTATGGAATGAGCTACCAGAGGAAGTAGTGGAGGCTGGTACAATTACAACATTTAAAAAGCATCTGGATGGGTATATGAATAGGAAGGGTTTAGAGGGATAGGGGCCAAATGCTGGCAACTGGGATTAGATTTATTTAGAATATCTGGTCGAATTGGACTGAAGGTCTGTTTCCACGCTGTACAGCTCTATGTCTCTATAACTGCCCCAATATAGTAACATCCCATAAACAGACTCCTTGGCAAAAAGGAAAATTCAGAAAGAGGTTCTCACATTCAGTTCTCCAATCCAGGAGGAAATAACATCAAGAGACAATTCAGAGAGAGCAGCAACCAGGAGGCATGTACTGAAGCTTCCAACTCGATTGATATCACAATAGCTTCTGTTTAAAGTTAAACCTAAAAAGTACCTAGAAATCCTGATCAGAGAGACTTGGCCACACCCATTCAGGCTGTTCAAAAAAAAAATCCAAGGTATCCCAAGCCATTTACTCTAGTGATTCTGGGAGGTTGCTCAGCACCTCTGCCTCACAATCTCACTTCAAAAATAAAAACAGGACAAAATAATTTCGTAAAGTCACAGCATTGTCACAATAAATCTGTGCTGCATCCTCCACGTTGGTACTTAACCACCAATCAAACGGAGTCTAAACGTCTTTATTCACTCACTTGTGCAACATAGGCATTGGTGGCTGGGCCACTATTTGTTGCCCATATTAAGTTTCTCCAGAAAGTGGTGTTGTATTGCCTTTTTGAACCACCAAAGGTCACATACTATAGGTGGACCCACTTCCTTGCAGAGAAGGCATTTCCAGGATTTTGACCCTGCGGCAATGAAGCAATAGTGCTATATTCCCAAATCAGGATAGCGAGTGGCTTGGAAGAGAACTTGCAAGCAGCAACGTTTGCATGTATCTGCTA